AGAGCGCTTGCCTTGCTTGCCTGAGGCCCTGGGTTCGATTCCTCAGCACCACATAAGCAAAAAGAAAAAAGCCGGAAGTGGTGCTGTGGCTCAAGTGGTAAAGCACTAGCCTTGAGCTGAAGAGCTGAGGGACAGGGCCCAGTCCCAGGTTCAGGCCCCACGACTGGACCCCAAAAAAATAAAAATAAAATAAAATACTATATAGCAGCTGTGAAATAGGAGTCATGTGCAGAATAAGAAAATGAGACACTTCCCCTCCTCCCACACAAATGGAGAAATTACTTTTTGTTTTGGTTTGTTGTTATTGTTGTTATTTGGTCAGTTATGGGGCTTGATCTCAGGGCCTTGAAACTGTCTTTGAGCTTTTCTTTTTCTTTTTCTTTTTTTTTTTTGTCAGTTGTGGGGCTTGAACTCTGAGCCTGGGCGCTGTGCCTCAGCTCTTCAGCTCAAGGAGGGCTCTACCACTTGAGCTACAGCACCACTTCCCATTTTATGGTGGTTTTTTTTTTTTATTGGAGATAAGAGTTTCACAGACTTTCCTGCCTGGGCTGGTTTTGAACTGTGATCCTCAAATCTTAGCCTCCTCAGTAGCTAGGATTACAGGCATGAGCCACCAGCACTTGGCTTTGTCCTTGAGCTTTTCTGCTTAAGGCTAGCACTCTACCACTTAGAGTTTTCTGGTGGCTAATTAGAGATAAGAGTCTCATAGACTTTTTTGCCCGGGCTGGCTTCAAACCAGGATCCTCAGATCTGAGCCACCTGAGTAGTTAGGATAAAAGGCATGAACCCCAAGGCACCTAGCAAAGCTGTTTTCTTTTCTGGACATTGGTTAATTGTCTCAGGTTGTCAGTTATTAGATATATAGTTGTCTTCCTATAAACCATTTAGTGGAAGACTTGAGGCTAGAAGATGTTGAACTACAGTTCAGAGGCCACAGATTTCCTGTGGATTGGTGAGCAGTCGGTAGGGAAAGGTACCAGCTGTGCTCACCGGTGTGAGTAATAGAACAGAACTTCCTCTATTATGATGAAGACTGCCAGTTCCTGGAGGAACCGGTTGAAAGTGGGTAGCGCTCGGTGGCAGGGGTCTGCCCACAATTTGAGCAAGAAATAGAGGGCGACCAGCATGGGGCAAGTGATCACATATTGATTGAAAAGAACTGTGTAGATAGACTGACGTAGTTTCACAGGGTCCACCTGCCAGAGGGAAGAAAAGAAGATGTGTGAGAAGTCGATCTTTGTCAGGCACCAGTAGCTATTCAGGAGGCTGAGATCTGAGAGTCACAGTTCAAAGCCAGCCCAGGCAGGAAAGTCTGTAATACCCTTATCTCCAATTAACTACCAAAAGTGGAGCTGTGGCTCAAGCAGTAGAAGTGCTAGCCTTGAACAAAAAGAAGCTCCGGGACAATGCTCAGGCCCTGAGTTCAAGCCCCAAGACTGGCACATACAAAAAGAAAAGAGTAGATCTTTTCTTTCTGGAGAAGAAGATCTATTCAAGGATAGATTCTGGGAGAGAAGACTTGGTATAGCTTGCAGCTCCTGACTGCTTCCCAGCCCTGGGTACAGTTATGGCCATTGGAACATTTGTAATGTTCCTGTTCTTGGAAACTGCTCCTAGCAGCCTTCATTGTCTGTCTGAGCCTGTCTTCCTCTTGGTTCTACACATAGCACCTATATCCTCCCATTCTTTTGTTCTGATCCTAGGACTTGATCTCAGAGCTTGGGTGCTGTCCTTGAGCTTTTTTTTGCTCAAAACTAGCACTCTACCACTTGAGCCACAGTTCTACTTGTGGCTCTTTTTGGTGGCCAATTGGAGATAAGAGTCCCATGGACTTTCCTACCTAGGCAAGAACTATGATCCTCAGATCTCAGCCTCCTGAGTAGCTAAGATTACAGGTCTGAGTTGCCAGTGCTCAGCATTTCTAATATGACCACACCATTTTGTGTAGCAGCTCTGTATGGCACAGAGCCTGAGATGGGAGTTGGGAGACCAGGACATTGCTTTAGACTGGCGTGTAGCTGAGTGGTGTGTGCGCTTGGGCTGGCTTCGACTCTTGATCTTCACATATCAGCCTCCTAAGTAGCTGGGATTCCTGGCTTCCTCTGGCTTCCTCCTAAATTGAAGGAGCCTTGGAGAAAGCTATTTGGCTCCAATTGACTGTGGTCCCTGAGCCAGAGGCAATTATTCTCAGCTTCTACTTTCTGGGCTCTGACCTACAGGAACCATAGTGACACTTACAGGTGCATTCTTGCCAACTTGAATCCGGTAGCGGGAGATGAAATTCAGTTTTCCAGTTGTGTCCACCACCAGTAGGATCCCACTGAAGGTCCAGAAGATCAGTGCAGGTATGAGGCCGGACCCTGAGGATGGAGAGAAGGGAAGAATCAAGCAGCTCCAGGTTTTCACAGCTCATGTGTTAAACATACTTTACAAGATTATCCCTTGTCCAGGGAGGTATTAATGCTTAAAGCCAAGGGCTTACATTTAACCTTTTTGTTGTTATTTTTGGGTGCCAGTCCTGGGGCTTGAATGCAGAACCTGGGCTATTTGCTCAAGGCTAGCACTCTACTACTTGGGCCACAGGTCCACTTTTGGCTTTTTGGTGGCTATTGAAGATAATTCCCATGGACTTTACTGCCCAGGCTGGCTTCAAATTGTGATTGTCAGATCCCAGCCACCTGAGTAGCTAGGATTACAAGTGTGGGCCACCAGTGCCCAGCCTTACTATATATATATATATTATATTTCCAATCCTGAGCTTGAACTCAGGGCCTGAGCTTTTTGTTCAAGGCTAGCACTCTACTACTTTAGCCACAGCGTCACTTCTGGCTTTTTCTGTGTATGTGGTACTGAGAAATTGAACCCAGAGCTTCATGCATGCTAGGCAAGCACTCTACCACTAAGCCACATTCCCAGTCCTGCCTTTAGTCTTGAGTAACATTCTAGCTGTTGGCACATAGACATTTCACTTAAATAGTGTCTGTATTTTTTTTTTAGCTCAGGTTGGTCCGGAATTCATGATCTTCCTGCCTCAGCCACCCAAAGTGCTGGGATTATAGGTATGTGGCACCATGCCCAACTCTTATTTGTTTTCTTTTTTTTTTTTGTCGGTCATGGGGCTTGAACTCTGCGCCTAAACACTGTCCTTCAGCTTTTCAGCTCAAGGCTAGCACTCTACCACTTGAGCCACTGAGCCACTTCAGGTTTTCTGAGTGGTTTATTGGAGATAAGCGTCTCACGGACTTTCCTGCCCAGGCTGGCTCTGAACCGCAATCCTCAGATCTGAGCCTCCTGAGTAGCTAGGATTACAGGCATGAGCCACCAGTGCCTGGCCTCTTTATTATATTCTTAGTCATAAAATTGGGACAGCAATCTTCAAGGGTGTTATGGACAAACAGATATATAAAAGAGTGTTGAGGGCTGAGAATTGGCTCATTGGGAGAGTGCTTGCCTAGCATGCATGAAACCCTGGGTTCAATTCCTCAGTTTCATATAAACAGAAAAAGCTGGAAGTGGCACTGTGTCTC